TACCTTTTGGTCTATGTATGGGCAGTGGTGTTCTGCTTGTTTGTTTTTGAGTGTTTATAGTAGCAAGGTTTCTTTAACAACCTGTGATATGTAGATGATACAACCTTGCTTGCTGAATGCCAAGAGGACTTGAAGTACATGCTGATGAAGAGCCAAGACTACATCCTTTAGTATAGATTACAACTCATAAAGAAAACCAAACTGCTCACAAATAGGCCAATAAACAATTTCATGATGTATTATGGATTGTGATAAGAGTTGTATGAGCCCCCAATAAAATGATTTTAAAAAGAAAGAAAAAAAGAGTGCGTTTTATCTCTCTCGCTGAACTGTTTGGAGGTGAAGTCTCGGTTGGCACAGGGTGGCTCTGCCATTCTCAACGTGTGCTTTCCGTGTCAGAGTCCCGGGTTTTCCTTCCAGCTGCCACTACTTCCCAACCCTCGGGTGAGGGCACAGCTACCTAGTGATTGTTAGGGTGAGCCATTTTGCTCGCAGTCGAGTCATTACAACTTAGTCATATGACTACATTTAACTAGAAAGGAGTTGGAGAAATGGGGTCTTCAGTCTAGCATCCATCTCAGACCTCAATTAAAACTTTCATCAGAGAAGAGGACGAAAAAAAAAAGGTGGACAACTAGACCCTTCCACTGATATGCATTATTATTTGAATAAGTTCATGAGTTGTTATGCTGTGAAATATATATTAAAGATATATCAAGGCAAACTCATATATACATATTTATATCCTCAAACATCATAGCTCTAGAAATAATTTGGAAAAATGACTCCGAATTCCCAGATTCTAAAAGCCTTAGGTATTAATCAGTATTGATTTATATGAACATTCAAACTCACAGCCTTCAGTCAGAGATTATGATTTTCAAATGGAATTCCCAATCTGCAGATTATACATGTTAGAATATAAAAACATGTACTAAAGAAAAGGATTTGTTTTACTCACTTTCATTTCTAAAGGAACAATGGGTTCTTTTTTTTAAAATCATTTTATTGGGGGCATGTACAACTCTTATCACAATCATGCATCAAAAACATTTGTACATTTATTGTCATCATCATTCTCAAAACATTTGCTTTCTACTTGAGCCCTTGGTATCTCATTTTTCCCCTCCCTCCTTCATGAACCCCTGATAATTTATAAAGTATTATTATTTTACCATATTTTACACTGTACGATGTCTCCCTTTACCACTTTTCTGTTGTCCCTCCCCCAGGGAGGGGGTTATATGTAGATCCTTGTGATCGGTTCCCCCTTTCTACCCTGCCTTCCCTCCACCCTCCTGGTATCACTACTCTCATTATTGGTCCTGAGGGGCTTATCTGTCCTGGATTCCCTGTGTTTCCAGTTTTTATCTGTACCAGTATACATCCTCTGGTCTACCCAGATTTGTAAGGTAGAATTGGGATCATGATAGTGGGGTGGGGGTGGGGAATATTAAACAACGAGAGAAAAGTTGTATGTTTCATCACTGCTATATTGCACCTCCCTGTGACCCTTCTATAAGGGGATATCCAGTTGCCTACAGATAGGCTTTGGGTCACCACTCCATACTCCCTCTCATTCACGATGATATGACTTTTTGTTCTTTGATGCCTGATA